GCCTGGTCTGTGGGCTCAGCCAACATACAAACAGGAGGCGGGTGGAACCAGTGGCTCCCCATCCGGGGTTCGGGCTCTCAGATGCGTGCGGTGTACGGGGGGCTAGGCTGTGTCTACCACAGGAGGCTCAGCAGGCCTTGTCCTTCTCTGTGGGGGAGGGGAGCACTGGGGTGGGGAGAGACAGAGAGGAGGGAGGGAGGATGGAAGAGAGAGACAGTAGGAAGGGAGGAAAGGGAAGGGGGGAGGAGAAGGGTAAGAAGGAGAGGAGAAGGAAGTTAGGGGGTAGGAAGAGGGGAGGAGGAGGAGTCTGTGTGCTGATGGCAGGCACTGCAAGGGTGTCTACGCTGTGGGACCCCCACTCTCTGTTCCATCCCCTACGATAATATCAGCTCCCCTGATGGGGGAGGCCCTGTGCTGGCCTTGGGCCAGGAAAATGCCCAGGTCTCATCTCACCCTCACCAAGGACTGGTCCCCAGTCATCCCCCTCAGCCAGACCCCAGACCCCGGCACTTAACACGCGTGGGCCTTTCCACCCCGGGCTCTCCCTGGGCCTAACCCTCAGGTTTACGCGGGGGCCAGGCACCGGGCACGTGCGCATATGCGTGTGGACCCATGTGCATATGTTAGGATAGGAGTGCGGACTGAGCAAACTGGCCGGGCTGAGATCCCGGCTCAGCCACCTCTCAGCTGTGTGGCCTTGGGTGAGTAACCTGACATCTCTGTGCCTGTTGTGAGGAGTAAATGAGTGACTCCGGAAACTGCACACGACAGCCCCTGAAGCAGGGGTCCGTGCTCCATGTCAGCTGCTGGATTATTATCTGAGAACCTGGCTGCGGGACTCCTCCGGCAGGGGCTCTGCAGTGCAGGGAGGAGCCTGTGGACGGGCCTCAGATCCTAGACGCTCCTAGAACGTCTCTGAACAGAGAAGGTCCTTAGCTTTTGTCACAGGGCTTCCTAACCCCCCGAAGCTGGGCCTCCTTGAGCCACAGTGATGGAGCCCCCACTGGAGGGCCCATCTCCACGCAGGTTTTGCGGGGCCGCCTACTGCCGCCCGGCTAGGCCAGGACAGGGCGGTGTGGGCAGCCCTGAGGCCCTCCACAGACGCCTATGTGGGGGCCGTGTGTGCTCAGGGACAGTGAGGCCCACTCAGGGGATTATTTTTAAGGCTGAGATGACACCACACAGTCGCACAGTTGTATCCAAACCAGCTCTCTTCCCGGGGATGGGAGGCGCGAAAACAGATTTCAAAGGCAGAGCTTTGAGTAAGCAAAACCCAATAAAAATAACGCTTTGAACCCAAATGCTGAATCGCAGCCCCAGGCGCATGCAACCAGCTGACGCCAGCTCTCCCCGGGCGACAGGCACGGGCCACCTAGGGGCGGGCGGGACCTCGGTGCAGCTGGGGCCTAGGTGGCCCCCCACACACACACCTGCCCCGCCCCCCGCAGGCCACCTGGTCCAGCCCCGCCCTCCAGGCCTCGCTGGGACTCCTGCCAGCTCCATCCTGGGGGCTCTGTCAGGCTGGCAGGGTTCTTTGCCCAGTTCTCACCTGCTTCCCCATCTGGCATCGGGAGGTTGGGGGTGTATTGCAAAGGGAGCGACACCCCCAACCCCCGCGGGGAACGTGAACCCACTCCTGAGAGGCAGTGCAGCTTCTTCGCAGGTTACAATCTTTTCCGTGCTGTGTGACCCCAGGATGGTGGCCGTGCCTCTCTGAGCCTCATGTGGAACTGGGGGTCATCACAGTCCCTCCTTCATGGGATAGAGCGTTGGCTCCCTCCATAGCAGTCTTAGCAGGGGGGCAGGAGGGAGGCTGTGGGGGCCTGAGTATGTGGTGAGCGTCCGCCCGGAGGGACCCTGCACCACGCAGGTGCCCTGCACGGATGGCCTGGGAGAAGCCCTCTACCACCTCCCAGTTAGATTTTGAATTGAGGTTACTGAGTGCAGAGAAGTGAGTGCCATACAGAATGCATGCAAAACCGACATTGCAATGTAAAATGCACGTGTGTACATACTTCCTCATACGTGCGCAAAATAGCTCTGAAAGGTGCCCAGAAACGGGGTACCTACTGGGAGGGGCCGGGCCAGTGGAGGAGGGGGTGGGGGGCTTCCTTCCTCCGATTTCGGGCTGTGCCTCCCACACCGCACTGCAGGCACCAGCTAGCCCCCTGCGAGGGGATTTGAAAGTCCTTTAGGAGCATTGCTGGTCCTGCCCTCCTGCCAACACAGACCCAGCTCCCAGGGAACTGCCCTGAGGGACCGGGGAACCCAGGCCTGGCACTTGGGGACAGGACAAAGCCTGCTCCTAGGCAAGTCTGTTACTGCCTCCAACAGCCCCTCCTGGACCCGCCGGCCAGCCTCCATTTGCCACAGTTTAAGGTCTGTGACCAGGACCAGCTACACGATTTGCAAGGGCTCAGGGTAAAATGAAAACAGGGCCCTTGTTCAAAATCAATTATGAATTTCAAGGTGACGCCAGCAGAGCCTTAAACCCACGGCAGGGCCCTTCTGGGCAGGCGTCACACACCTGTGAGGCCAGCCCCACCCCTCCCCCCTCCCCAAGCCCTGGGCTCCCTGAGTCAGGAATGCTGTCTGTCTTGTTCACAGGGCCCAGCACAGAGCCTGGTACACAGTAGGTGCTCAATAAATATGTCCTGTGAATGAATGAAGGCGAAGAAATAGAACCGGTGCTGTTGGGGTCCAAGTGCCACCATTCAGGAGGGTCCCAGAGCCCGGCCTCCTGGGCCCCATCCCTGCTTCCGGCTCAGATTCTGCCCAAAGCTGGGCGGATGGGCCCAATGGCACAATGACATCACCAGGGCCACCCCCTTCCTGAGCCTGCTTAGGGGAACGCTGAGGCTCGTGGGGCTGCCTGGAGGCGGCAGCATATATTGCTACCGTAGAGGGACTGGATGGCTTTGTCAAGAGCCCCCAGAAGGTGCAGACCACCCCTCATTTAGGGCATATGGGGAGGGACTGATGCAGGACCCAAAGAGGCAGGAATGTTGGGGAGAGGGGGCATCTGTGGCCTCCCAGGCATCAGGTGGAGCAGGAATGTGGGGGCTGGTCCCTGGGAGACCCTAACTGTGCCATCTGCGGTGTTTCTAGTGCGCGGTGTGGATCCGAGTGTGATGTTCCTGAGTGTGAGTGTGTGTGAGTGTGTGTGTGTGTGTGTGTGTGTGTGTGTGTGTGTGTGTCAGCCAGCATCTCGGCGCATTTGCTGTGTGTGTGCCTGGTCCCCTGTGTCTGTCTGTGCTGAGTGGGATGTGAGGCTCCGAGCTGATGCTCAAGGTCCTCTTGACACAGAATCCACGTTAGTCCAAGAGAAGAGAGGGAGCGGAGGGAGGAGAGGGGGCGGCGGAGCGGGAGAGAGAAATGAAGGGCTGGGGAGGCACGGGGTTGGCCCGGGAGGCGAGGCGGAGAGAGGCGGGGAGGGGAAGAGGGTCCTTGGCCCGCTTGCCGCAG